AGATTATGATTGTTGTTTATTGAGAGTTGTATGTGTGTGTTTTGATAGAGGAAGTCTGTAATTATAGGAATTCTGTGAATTCAGATTGGTTGGAGTGAAGTCTGTTATTTCTGATATTTGATAGAATTTATTGAGTTTTGAGCGATCTTTTGAGAGTGCAGGATTGCACATTGTGGTTATCAATTGATGAAGGAGTATTGTTACTGAGAGGAAGCATTGTACTGTTTCTTAGTATTTTAGTGGTTCGGAATACAGTTAATTGTGTGATCCTAACAAGTGAAACTCATGCGCTTAGTCTTTCCTTGTGTTCGAATTCCCCTATACATGTTTATTCTGGAAAGAATTGTAAAATAAGTAAAACAACAATCATAGAATGTTATAGTATATTTACAATTGAAATTGTATAAATTTTCTTATCTTCAATGTTTTTAAGAAATTTAATGTCAATTGAATGGTTAGATTGAAGGATATGAGAGTTTTATTATATTAGGATCTTAGATTTTTGAAATTTAGGATTAATAAGAGTTTTATGATCTTGAAAAATTTACTATTTAGATTGATGTGAAATTTGGTAAGAGCAATTTGGACTTAGAAATATATACACCAACTAATTTGTGAAACAATTGAACTATTCAAAAAGAAGAAATCACCATTGAAAGTCCAACATCTACATTGGAAAACAAAGGCAATGAATATCAAAGAAGTTTAGGAGATTTTTTTTTTTAATTGATAAGTTTGATTTTGCTCAAATTTTGAATGCTTGTTAAATGCTTGTAAATTGAAATACAAGTGAAATTTGAGTTGAAATCAATAATTTGATTATTATTTATTGAGATTTTAAAACAGCTACAGAAATTGATTAAAATTTACTCTAAATTTTGTTAAGTTTGTTTAGAATTTATTTAAGGTTTGGTTAGGATTGAAGATTTATTTAGGATTTATGTAGAATTTTATTAGAATTTAGAATTATATTAAGATTTGGTGAGGATTAGTTTAGGATTTTATTAAAATTTATTTAGGATTTGATTAGAATTTAGTTAGGATTTGATTAAGATTGGTTTAGGATTTTATTGAAATTTGGTTAGAATTTTTTTTAAAATGATTTAAGATTTTATTAAAGTTTGTTTAGAATTATATTAGAATTTAATTAGGTTATATTTAAATTTTCTATTATTAATATTTTTTAAGAATTTTTTGATATTTTATTAGAATTTTTTATTATATATATTTTTTTTAAGATTGATTAATAATTTTTTTATGTTTCTTTTGTAATTTTTTAAGATATCTTTTAAATTTGATTAAAAATTAATTAGTATTATTAAGATTTAATTAGAAGTTTTTTAGAATTCTATTAGAGTTATTAGGACTTTCTTGTTACAAATTCTATTTTATCTTCCACAACCAAGTGCTTAGTGCATTTTTAAGCAAACTTCATAGAATACAACAATATCGTACAAGACATTGCCACATAGCTTTTAGTTAGATAGTATATATAGAGGCAAGAATAAAGTCCTCTTCACTCTTGTCAATGCCTTTCTCGTCCTTAGTCTTCTTTCAAGAATCTTTAGTTTTCTTTAACAACAGCCATCTTAGTTTAATATTATACCGTCTTTGGATAATTATCTATTCTTTTCAAGTAATGCAAGAGTATAATAAACTTTTGGTTCTTTGTGATATATATATCTTCAATCTTTGCATAAGATATAAAACATGTATAGTCCTCAAGATCAAGTTCTTCACATATGTACAAAAAGCAAGAAATATTGACAACAAATAGTATAAGAACAATGCAAACTATAACATCTGATATAAGCTTTTTATCTTAGTATTCTAACTTATGCATCAAACCAAGCAAATTGCTCAAATCTTACAAAACCATCCTTAAGTATTGTATTGGACCTTGTGTTTTTTAGTGCAACATGAGCAACCATGGTTTTCAAGAATGAAGAAGTTTGAAATGCCATTGTTGATTGACATAACTTCACATATGACAAGAAGAAACTACTGAAGTCTTTCTTTTATTCTTAGTTTGACATTTGCACTTATCCAATAGTCAAAATTCATCTTGGACTACATGCCAATAATGAAAGTGGCATAGATAAAAGAGTGCTTCTTACACAGTCCCAATCAAATAAAATTGTTGCATGAGTAATGGACTTATTGAAGTGGTTGTATCTTCAAATTTAAGATAAACCAAGTGGTGCTTTATGCAAACTCAAGGGTTTACGAATTGGAAATGTGATGGTAAAAAAAACGTTACTGATTCTTAGTGTTATGCAATTATGTAAGCATTAGATAAGCCAGCTATTCATGAGACAAGACAATTCACATTTCTCACATGCATTAAAACCCTAAAGCCAGTATTTGATGCCTAACGGAGTAGTGCAAGCTCTGACCTCAAGCTAATGCAAAGATATACTTGATTAGCAAACTTATGATTGATTGACAGGCAATAGAAGAACTTTTCAGTGTACAGCATATATTCGAGACTGTTCTGACGAATGCTCTTCTCCAAAATTTATGTTTGTACTTCTTCAATGCAATGACTTCCTCAGGGAAATTTTCAAAGCAAAAATAGCAAGCAAACAAACTTCATTCCTATTACCACCCGCTTAGAGCGCAGGCGTCGGTCAATAGGATGGTTCAGCACACTAGAAGATAAGTGAAGATCATCTGGCTATGGCGGCTCATCGGGACTGCCATAGACATAAAGTGAGTTTCATCATATATCATTCTGATGAATGAAGGACAACATTTTAAGTAGTGATGGAAATTTCACATAAATAAACTGTCTCCTCATTGAAAAATGTATGCTGTACATCAAATTCGAGGGAAATGATCATCTAAACAATAGATTGCGACACTTCCGACAACTGCTTAGTGGAGAGATTCCACCTAGCTTCCCATTTGGCGTCGTCGTCGGCGATCTCTGCCTCAATCCGGAAGTGGCGGTAGCACGTCGACTTGCTTACCATTCGTTTCCCTTCGCAAATCATGCACATGCACATCACCTTCTGCTTGCTTAATGGCACTTTCACTTTGGAACAACCCCGGCACATATGCGAAGGCTTTCTTGCACAATACCTTGAGCAGTTGGAGAGGCCGCTATCTGCAGAGCTGAGTTCATCACTTGCTGCGGTGGTCGTAAGGGAAGAAACTGATGACATCGTGTAGACTCGATTCTAATTTGCACCTGCGAAGACGAGGGATTTGGGTCAGAACTGGAACACAGTTTTATAAGCCCATCTGCAAGGTATTCCCTCCAGATTCGATGTCTTCATGGACTGGGAACCCAAACCAAGTACACTAGAGTTCCGAAAACAATTTGCAGCTATTTCGATGCTCGGCGCTAGCTGCTGTTTAAATATCCCTTCTCCATTGAAATTGGAAATGGTGCGAGATGTGAAGACTACACTCGAAGCCTGCCTTGGTTCTCGTCTTCCAATGCCAAACAACAAAGCGTGGGTTGATAGTCGGTCGATGGTCCATTTCTCACAAGCTATTGCCGAGGACATTAAGACACTGCCGCAGTCAGATGAACCCACCAATTGCACATCATGTTGAGTCCATGAGAGGAATCACAGTTCGAAGGAGACGACTTCGGAGATGTCTCATGTCCAATTCCAAAGATCAGGCCATTGGGTGGTATTCCAGATTCCAGATAAAGAATATTTCTACATGCCAACCAGATCATTTGTTTATGCTCTTTTATCTACAGGAAACTGACTTCTCATTCTCTGACATGTCCACGTTTTGTCGAATTAGTCTTTAATACCGTCTAATTTGAGGGCATACAAGCACGGCGACATCTTCTTTGCTCTTTTTATTGGTAGAAATGTAGATTTGTTTCCTTACATGTTTCTGTATACTCCAAAGCTGTGCAATTGGTGGTTTCGTCCCAAGTCCTTCAATCGCCACCACAGCGAAGGTAAGGATGGCGTGTCTGACGAGCTCGCAGCACGAGAGGATGAAGGGATGGAAACCCACGAATAGGTTGAAATTTGCAGTCGCTATCTGATGGATTTTGCGATATTTGACGAAGCTTGGCACTCTTTCTGACATCCTGCACTTCTACCTCGTCCTTGCATCGCAATTTGTGGTCCTCCTCCCTGTTGTAGCTCTATGATCATTCTCCAGACTTTCTATGAGGCACTTATGCTGAAGACCTTATGTTCAACGACAACAGACCTGGGTATGGCTCTTACAGTTTGTTTCCGGCTGAGAATTGAAGGTCTAATTCGAATCACACTACATTCCGTTTAAAGGAATGTCTTAATGAATGAAATGCTAATTTACCCCTCAAAGGAATATTTACAATTGGAGGTAGACGTCACGAAACTAGCCTTGACCTGTCGTCGATTAATCGATTTCCGTTGGTAGGCAAATTCAAGCTGAACGTGGAACTTTCCAACGAAGGATCTCGATCTCTGCAAATTAATTACATCTCATTTTCCTGTTTCTAAAATCACAAGTCAAGGAAGCAAAAGGTTCGATGCAGCACGAGAGTCTCCAATTAATTCATCTCAAGGCTTAACATGCTTCATCTGAAAACCTAACACCATTCAGATGTGCAGACTTCCTTCCAGCTGACCTTTGTTTGGTTACGTATCGTTTTCTTTCTGGTGCTTCGTACACCGAAACCTAAACTTGATGAACACCAATAAATGAGCGACAGCAATAACCCAGGACCAACATTACACAACGGCGAAGGTAAAACCTTTGGCCAATGTGAAGCAGTCGCCATTACAGTCGCCATTTCATGCGGATTTGCTCAAAATCGTCACGAATAATACCTAGTGCACAATTTTGCTCGTCTGCAGTCTTAACCTTACGATCTGACTTCAAAACTTCTGGAAGGTTGGGCAGATTTCACACCCTGCACATTCCATGGAGACCAATCGTAGACTGCACAACTGAAATGTGTTGATACAAGTGTGACTACGAAATCTAATTATAGAAGGTTGAGTAAAACCGGGAAAGCTTGCGCGAACCAAGTCTCAGATTCCAATACAACCCCATGGTCCAAGTCTCACTGGCGGGTGCGGTGACTTGCGTTGCAAAATTCCAATAATTCGTCGGAGTCCTTTGTTGTGTTAATCCAGCTTTCTAAATCTGACGGAACCGCTGCCAGTAAATGAACAGATCAAAATGCAAAATGAGGGTCATGGTTCATCTCACTGCATAATGGGGCCTTTCCGAGACATCAGAATCACCACAGTGGACACAAGAATCTTTGGTACAGATTGAGTCTCTTGTACGTGGGTCTAATTTCAACTCAGGGTTTGGCAATTCGTGAAGTGGAAAAGTTAAGCGTCTTCCCAGATTACTGAAAACCGATTGCTTTCGATGACGTCGTGGATCAATGAGCATGAGCAGCATAATTGCATACACAAGGAACTGAAGTGTGGTAAAGAGGGAAGATGGTGGGTATCCTCATCGGGCTTTTAACATTTATGGGATTTGATTCATATTGTCATGGTTTGTTACTGGTTTTTTAGATTTGTACTCAAACGTTAGGTCGAGCGCTCGCCTGCGCCATGCCATGCAGCGACACCACCATGCACTCCATGAACAGAAGCATCTTATCCCGAAACTCCTGCTCTGCGGCGTGCTTCGACTGCATCAGCTTCACCATAGTGCCCAACTGTGCTCCAAGCCCCCCAATAGTCTGACCCAGCAAGCTCACCGCAGGGGAGCACTGTTCCACATTGTCCTGGTGGCCTGGATTCATGCCGCGATGAAACAAGGGAACTCTCTCCACAACCAGGTTCTTGTGCAATTGCTGCTCACAATTATTGGTATTGTGAAACGACCCTTGGTGCACACCCATAATCATCTGCACTAGCTCCTCCTTACTTCCGGAATTGCTCATTTGACTGTCCCCCGAGTGCAGTAACGGCAAGTGGGAGTTTACGGATTGGAGTACCGGCTTGTGAGTATCTTGATCCGCGTGATGTGGTTTCTTAGCGTAATTCTCTCCGGGTATTGCATTCTGAGAAAGGGAATTGTTCAAGTGACTGCCGATTGGTTGCTGTTGAGGTGAGTTCTGTGGCATTTGGGTGTCGTCCATTTTGCAAGCATTTGCAAAGGGGTTGGGTCTCTTGAATGGAAACCACGGCTTCATGGAAGATGGAATCTTATTCGGATTCTCAGTGGTTTTATTTGTGAAGTCAGGAGGAGGGGCAACTTTGATTGAGTCGAAGGTAGTTGGTTCAGTGATGAGCGAGGAATTTTCAGGAGTTGGGTGTGGAGGTGGCTGGGAAGTCTTCACGAATGTTGAATGGGAACTATTATATGGCACTGTTCTATTGTTCCTCCGCAGCTCTGCAGCACGTCTTCTTCGAAGCTCTCGGGCTTGGAGCTTGAACCCATCAAACGTCTCTTGGGAAGACACTGGCTGTTGCTCGCTTGGAACAGGCCACGAGGTCTTGACTTGCTTTTCAGACTCTTCCTGTGGCTTCGATTCTGCAGAGGGACTTACGGTATCGACAGCAACCAAGGGATGAGACGATGGCGCTGAAGTTGAAGTGGACGATACACTTGGAGCTGACGGTGGAGCTGGCAGTGGAACAGATTCTCTGCTCAAACAATGCACAAATTAAGATGCCGTTTCATGCTTAATTTAATGTAAAATACTTCAATACCCACTTTCGTAGCAGACATGATATGTGCTTTAGTTAATAAACCATATATCTCAAAAAGTACCTGGTGAGCTCCACGTTGAGCTCAGTACATGCAACTTCCTTGTCCTCGAAACTAGTCGGAGACACATTCATACGATTAGACACAGACTCTTTCTTCTCATTCTGATGAGAGAAACTTTCTAAGCAATCAAAGATCTTCTTGTCAAATCCATCTCCCAGTGGAAGCTGGGGCCATTTGCTGCGACACTCCAACCTCTGTTCTCTAGTCAAGTCCCAGTAGTTGTTGTGATTATCTTCCTGCATGTTGAAGGAGATGATCTGGACCCTGTATTGCTCTAGCCTGTACCATCTCCTGTTGCAGCTCTCGTGGCTTCGATTGAACCCCTTCTCACGTAGCCTCTTCGCTACTTCATTCCAGTGCTCGCTTGCTGTATGGCCTTTAGAACCTTTTGCTCTCAGAGCAATGTGCTCCTCCACCAAAGCAATGGACTCTTGCCAACTCCATTGTTTTGCCATCGTTCTACCTGCACAGGTCAGAAAACAGTCATTACAGCCATTAGAAAACTTTACAGCGATTAACTAAAAAAGACATAAAAAAATTCGTGAAAAGCTAACACAAAACAAATACAAATATGATGCTCCCCGGGCTGACAAAGCTCACCTGCAACAGCTACAATAACAAGTGCAATTTACATGATTTTCCAAGGCAAGAAAGCATTCATACTCATGAAAGGAGGCCCTTACACAGGTCTGTGTCAAATTGAGTAACATGGACAATAATGTTGAATGATGTAGATACCCTCGCAGACAAGACCCAAAAGAAAAACTTCTCATGTCAGACGTCAAAGGATCAACAATCAACCAAAACGACACAATATGCAAGCCCTGATTCAACTCCCCAATCGAGCTGAACATGAACTGTGACTCTGTAAGCCATGTGATTCAGTAAGAACTGCAGATCGCACGACCACTAAGCATGTTAGTGAACACAGACCAACAACTCAATTGAGCAAGAGCACCTACCATGGAAGGATCAAAGTAGGCTTAACCATACACCCATAAAGCGTCAGGAGTGTACAACAACAACGGTTCAAAGAAAAAGATGACCTACAAAGGACGAAAGACTGCACACTCTACAAGCTCTGCACAAACAACAAAAACCTGCAAGCCATCGGGGATTATGAAGGAACCTGTGTGCATGCTACACCAAATTTCAAGATAGACTACGAAGAAGACGTACTCTGTTCACCAGGACTTTGTTCAGCTATGAAACGAGCTGCTGTTGCTGCTGCTGCTCCTGCTCCTATTCGTCAAGAGTAATGGATTTGTGAGTGTTGGAGGAGCTCCGGTGGATGAAGAAGGGGAGGAGGAAAGGCAGGAAGCCGCGAGATCGATGTGGTGGAGATGGAGGTTTTAGAGCAATTCCTGTCCTTTGAGGACCCAAAGGGTGCAATGCTCAAAGGGTGCAACACTCTCGAGCGTTACTGGGACACAGTCTTGTGCCCTTTCATCAACTTGGGCTGTGGCTCTCCATGTTCCCTTGCTTGTTCCCTCTCTTGTTCCCATGTTCCCTTTCTTGTTCCCTGTCTTGTTCCCATGTTCCCTTGCTTGTTCCCTCTCTTGTTCCCATGTTCCCAGAACGTGAAAAATCTGAGCCGCAGAGTTTTTACTGATGGAAATTGAGCTAATTGGAACATTCTTATAGTAGAGATGAATTTGGAAAAAGCATCATTGTTTTTATTTTTATTTTTTTTCTTTGTCTTATTGATACTAAACGGGGTTTATCTAGTTAAAAGCATTATTTGTAAAAATTTAAATTTTTATAAGTTCACTTTGAATATATTTTTATGGAATATATTTTTATAAAAATATTGTTGTTAATAACATTAGAATTGTTGTTAATAACTAGATTTTTTGGATATTGTTGATGATTCTAAGGATTTTCTATCAAATAATAGAAATTGTACAGTAATCAATAAGTACATGTAGCTTATAAAGAAAGCATACAGCAAGTATATTTCTAATTTGGAAAACATTAATTTTGCACACATTATTTTATGTAAAAGATTAGTTGTAGAATAGATGATATTTTGCAACATCTATAAAAATCAAAAACTTTTTAATATTATCTATAAATGACACAAAATTTTATATGTAAAATAGAAGGTGAAGCTTCAATTATATATGTAGAACATAAAAGCACTTACAAACCAATTCATAGTCATAAATATGTTCTTAGAAAAATTTAATGTGGTAATAATAAATAATAACTTTGCTATTATAGCAACTAAAAATAGCTCCATTACAACCATATCCAAGTATATTGTAAGTTTAGATGCAGCCAATGACATGATACTAATCAAATATTTATTTAATACTTGTAGATATATTCCACTAGTAAAGATATTTATAGTGGACAATAACATTATTGAAACTATTAAAATGGTAGAGAAATTGATGTTAATGCTAAAAAGATAAAAATGATAATTTCAATTTTATTCTTTTAATCCAAAATAAATAAAAATAATAAAAAAATAAAAAATCAATAATATTTTTTGTGGAAGATATTATGATTTATTTCAATATAAGTGGATAATTTGTAAAAGTTTAAATAAAAACATAGTAGCCATATGTGCAAAAATATATCAATTATATCTTATCACTTACAAAAACATAAATAGAATAGAAAAAGTGTAGACTTATTAATTAAATTTAATATATATGTTTATATATTGCAAAGTTAAAGACTTCAAGGCAGTTATTAAAAGTGCCTGTATATATAGAAGTGAATTGATGTTTGAGGAGTTTAATGTTTTGTGAAATAAAGTTAAAGACTTCAAGGCACTTATTGAAAGTATATGTATAGAGAGAGAGAGAGAAAAGTGAATTGATGTTTGAGGAATTTAATGCTTTGTGAAATATAGGAGCATTGCAAGTCAAACTTTCATATCATATACTTTATAACAAAATAGGCTTAAAGAGGTCTAAATTGTTGTATAGTAAATATAGCAAAAAGAGACTTGCATTATTCACACCTTAGCTATGAATTCTACTATAAAACATTAGTAAATGTAATACACACTTTCAATTGTTATTCTACAAATAACCTTGTATTAATGACATTCTAAAAAGTAAAGATTAAGACAAAATTAATTTATGCGTTTGTAAACCAAAACAATCATTAAAATCTATGATTTATGAACATAATGAAGGTGAAACATGAAAGTTGAAAGTATTTAAATATACTTTTAAATTAAAAATATATTTGAAATTTTGATTACTTAGGTTAATTAATGAGTGATTTTGGTTTTAAGTGACCCTAAACCCTAAAAATTTTGTTATAAAACTGGTTAGATAAATATGTTGACAGTTTTATAACAAAGTCATAATGGAAAATTTTGTAAACCAAAAAGAAAATATTTATTTTAATATAAAATTTTGAAATTAAGATAAGTAAATTTTATTAAAAATTCCTGTATCTAATATAATACTCAAAAATTAAAAATAATACCACTCTAAAAAATTTGTTTCACAGTTTGTAATCTAGTAAGCAGAGACATATTAAGTAAAAGAAAACTAATATATTCAATAATTATTATTTCTGAAAAATGGCTACCACTTCACTTGTACTTATAAAATAATAAATTGTAAAAGGAACCAGGTTTAGGTTTAGGGTCACTTAAAACCAAAATCACTAATCATTTTATCCTTTGTTAGGAAACTGGTTAGATAAATATGTTGACATTGTTGTAAATACGATTTTTATTTTTATTTTATTTATTTTCAACATCAAGTTTCATGCTAATGACATTTAAAGAGTTATGCATTCAAAATTATTAAAACAAGAAAAATATCATTAATGTATATATTTTTCCAAAATTGGGTGGCCTTTAATATTTTTAATAAATAACTACATGTGAGGAAATAATATTTCTTCTATTATATTAATTTTAAAATTAGCTTTTATTAACTTTTGGAGTTAGTATTTTTGTTTAGATGTTAAAAGCTGCACACATATTGGCAATTGTAAGATGCTTTAATACACGTATATATATATATATATATATATATATGTGTGTGTGTGTGTGTGTGTATTATTTTTCTCTCAATCACATACAGAAAAATAAATAAATAAATTCCCATAAGTGAAAAATCCTAAATTATGGCACTTACTACTACACTAGGCTTGGTGGCTATTTGGCCATGGCCTCACAATGACGACGCGTCCTCCAATCATATAGTCAGCGGTGGCGCCATGTCACGGGAATCGAAGACCGAGCCTATCATGTTTTTTTAGCTGCCCTAGGTCCATATGACCGTTTATGACGTGTCCAGAGGACCTTGTCATTGGGCCACTAGGGACGCGCCACGGCAGCAGAGCTCTCAGTCTCGCCAACCACGTCGCAACCACGTCAGCATGGGACCCCATTCCCGTCGAGAGAGGCAATCAGGATGATGGGATCTGTCGAACAAGACTCATCGGCGTCATCGCCCAAGCCGCAATCGCCGAAGCTCGCTTGGGGTTCGGCGCTTCTCCCATCTCGCCGCGCGTGGGCAAGCTTTGCTTCAGTCGGGAGAGAAAGAGAGAGAGAGAGAGAGAGAGAGAGAGAGAGCGAGAACGGAGGTGGTGAATCCGCTCGGGTTTCTACGAAATTGGGTTGGATTTTAGACAGCGTCGGTGTCGGCGCTGGGCTTGTAGACCAGATAGATCTTGCAAGTTCAGGGGGTTTCTGGGGGATCTGTGTTGTTTTTGATTTGTGGGTTGTGCCAGTTTCCCGTGAAGATCGTTTGCAAGCTGGGATACAAATACAGCCCTGGGTACTGGTACTCGGAGTTGTGGAAGGAGGGCGAGCCGGCAGATGTTAAGCCTGGCATCATGTTTATCGTAGATTGGTTTTATGGCTTTCTTGCGAGCATAGGTTTGTGGCAGAAGGAGGCCAAAATCTTGTTCCTGGGTCTTGACAATGCCGGGAAGACGACACTTCTGCACATGCTCAAGGATGAGGTCCTCCCCTTGCCAGATTTCTTCTCCTTTTTTTTCTTTTTTCCCACGGTTTGTGCCTGGCTGCCGCTAGAAATGTCGGTTTCTGTCTTCATGGCTTCTGTTGCTTCGCCCTGAATTCGTAGATCTATCATCATTCGTCACCACTTGCTTATGTCCCTAGTCGTTTTGGTTGCTTGGGTTATAATTTCTTCTAATCTTTGTGGGAGTTTAGTATCTTGCAATGTCTTGTCTCCTCCGATGCTGAATAGAGTTATCCGCTGTCGTCTGTGTTTGGGTTGCAGTGGTACGCTACTAAAACAGACTAGAATGTTTTACATTCTTGAATTAGGTCTGGAGCTTGGTATGGTCTCCCCTGGATGGATTGAAGAGTTGGTTGGAATTGAAGTGTCTCTCTTAGGTATTTATGTCGGATGACTCATGTCAGTTTCTTGTGAACAGAAACTGGGGCAACATCAACCAACGCAGTATCCAACATCTGAAGAATTGAGCATCAATAGGGTGAAGTTCAAAGCATTCGATCTAGGTGGTCACACGATTGCTCGACGTGTGTGGAGGGACTACTATGCTAAGGTTTTTTTCTAGTCTTATCCTTTGTTGATTCTAGTATCTTCCCAACATATGTGTAAACGTTGTTACATAGTCATGGCATTAAGCTTGAGTTTTTATTTGAGAACTTTATTACTACGTCTCCAGTCTTTTATTAAATTGCTCCTCTAAAATCTCTCTGATTGAGTGTTATTCCAGACATCCCGTGAGGTCATGAGGCGTAAGAAAAATTTCGCGCTGATTCAGTGTTAGAAAGCCTTACTAAGGCTGTAAATCAATAACTTTGTGCAGGTGGATGCTATCGTTTACCTTGTCGACGCAGTTGACAAGGAGAGGTTTCCTGAATCAAAGAAAGAACTCGACTCCTTGCTCTCGGATGACTCGCTCTCCCAAGTGCCTGTGCTGGTCCTTGGCAACAAGATTGACATCCCTTACGCTGCCTCCGAAGATGAATTGCGGTACACACTCGGCCTGACCATGACCACTGGCAAAGGAACGGTGAACCTGAAGGATAGCAACATCCGGCCCATTGAGGTTTTCATGTGCAGTATAGTGCGTAAGATGGGTTACGGCGAAGGGTTCAAGTGGATGACGCAGTATATTAAATGATTGTTTGCAATAGACAAGGAAAGTAATTTTTGGTGTACCAGGGCCATTAATAGTGATTGCAGTTTTGGTGGATGTGCATCTGAATGGGAATATTTTGGTTTCCGGACAGTTTTTGACCTTACGAATCATGAAGTAAAGTGAATCCTATGGATACCAGTTATCTAGATCTTGACTGCCCTTCGTAGCTAGTTCCCTAACTTATTTAACCATTTAACCTGTGCTTAATCTGTAAAATACTTGCATTATGTCGATAACAGTGCAACGTACAGTCTTCTGTGCAGAAATTAAGTAATTGTTGATGCAAGTAACTCAGATATACAACGACTTGTATCCACTGCTTCAACAATTTTTTGATCTTCGGTCAAACAAGTTGAAAGTGCGCTATTTTTGGCCTGTTTGTGAATGAAATTTACCAGTTCCAGAATTCTTGCTGAAGCAAAGAAGCTTCCAGCATTCTCCACCTGAGTGAATATAGATTCAGACTGCTTCAGTCTGAGAGGAAACCTAGATTCTCTCTATTCTTCAACTTGAAGGAGGATATTCATAACAATGTGCGGATTTCTCTCATCTGCCTCATTATATTGCCGATTGTGATACAGTTTAATTAGCCTTTGCATATATATACAGGTGTGTGTGCAATTTTATCATATACAAATGTCTGTTTGATTAATTGTTCATGAATGTTCTATATATTAGACTAAATAACTTTAGAGAAAATCTTGCTTAGTGTAATATGCTAATACTAAAAGGGTTCGCCTTGTAGAAGAAATTTCCAACCTTTGTTTTCTTTAAGAAAATTCATATATATATTAGTGATTTATTGCTTACTATTCTTTAATTGAGGGATTTTGAAGACTGAATAACTTGTATTGTAATACAGGATCAAAAGAAAGATTATATTATAGCTAGACTTACCAACTTAGATAGATCCTATGACCAATAATTTTACAAAAGTTTTAGGAGGGAACTTTATTCTTTATAACATGAAGTTCCAACCAAGGTTGGAATAGAGGTCATAAATAAATAATGGTGGTTTGATTAAGACTTCAAAAAGTTTTATTGAATCTCATGACTTTTTAATAAAAAACTACAAAGGCTGCAAGGGGTGCAGGGTGTTCGTTCTAACACTTTGTTCTCTTTAGAGAAAAATACATTCGAATTCTTTACATTAAATACTCAAGACCAAGGTATATATGATTCATAGTGTCTTTTTCATATCACAAGGATAAAAAGTCAACTTTAACACCAACGACCTTAAATCTTATACCATGCAATGCTGAGACATCATCATCATAATCATCAAAATGAAAAAAGCTTAAGAAAGACACATAGTTCCACAACCAAATAAAGAACCCAACATATCAAAATTATAGATTTAGAAAAAACTCCAGACATATGACATCTTTCACAGTTAGGAATTAATCATCTGCAAACAATCCTCAAAATCATGCACTAAAAGCACTTGCCACAGCACCTACATAGAGCAAATATAAAAATAACGATCCAACTCAATCGATGCACGTTAATTTTAGCCACAAGAATGCATCAACCACCTCAGACTTGATTAAAATAACAAATCTGTTTATAAATAGTGTCATCACAAATGCAAAGTTCCTCTCAGAACCACCAACTGAAAAAGCAAACAATTCAATCAAAACATACAAATAAATATAATAAATAAATAAATATATATATATATATATAACTCTCTCTGGGGAAAGGGAACAAGGGGGGACGTGAAGTGAAGCGTGAAAGAACCTTCGGATGGAGTCAAAGGGCGGGAGGGGGGGGGGGGATTCATTGTGGTGTGGACAACGACGGCGAGGGGGTGGGCCCTCTCCCATCGCGGGCCGGGTCGGGCGCCATTCCCCCCGCCCACCCGTGCTCCCGTCGTGAATCGATTCCTCCTCGGAGCCCCGCTGCCGGATCGCAACCCCTCCTCCTCGCCTTTCTCCTCCGCTTGCTGCCTTGCTTGTTGCGGAACGAACGAAGCCCATCGCGTTGTCGTGGTCGTTTCCAGGTACGCGTCGCGCCTTTTTGTGCCGCATCGAAGGTGCCATCGCGGAATTTTAGTTGGTAGGATTCTGAAGGAGGCTGATCTGTTATCGCTGAAGGGAAGTCTAGCTGTCTGATTTGTTTTTGAGGATGGTCGAGAAAAGAGGATTTTGGTTGATGGGGATTGCGGTGTGGGAGCATTTTCGTGATGTCGTGGTTCGTGGAGACTGAACGTGTTGCTCTTGCTACCGTTGTTGCATTGCTGGCTAGGGCTTTTTGTGCTGGATGTTGGTTTGTTGCTTCGGGTTTTGAAGCGGTGTTGATTTGGCGCGAAGTGTTTTTTGTTGTTTGTTCGTTTTCGTTTTCGCAGAAGTGAAGCAGGTCTTAGTATGCCGGCTTAGCGTTTTGGAGACCTGAGAGGATTATTTAAGTCCTGATGTGTTGATGAAGGGGATTTGTTGTTGCTATTATTGATTCTTCAATAGAGCAAGACTTTGGCCGGATTATCATTTTTGTTGTTTGTGAGTGTGATTTCTCTTTCTTCAACTGGTAGGTAGTGAACTCTCGTGATTTTTTCGGAGGCAATGTTTGTGTGAATGTTCTGGATTCTAGACATAACTTGGAGTTTGATACTCAGGGTTATCAAGGAGACCTGCCGAAGAAAAGAGACAGAGTCGTAATTAGCAAGTGCGACCTGTAATGTGATCTACCAGCCCAACCATAAACTCCCTGTCATTACAGCTGATAAGGAAGATTTGTGGATTTAGTCGGGACAGACATGGCGAATGGTTACAATGAGTACGATAATAAGATAGACTACGTGTTCAAGGTCGTTCTCATTGGAGATTCGGCAGTCGGAAAGTCGCAGCTGCTGTCCAGATTCTCCCGCAATGAGTTTAGTCTCGAGTCTAAAGCTACAATTGGAGTTGAGTTTCAGACGCGTACCATTGTAGTGGATCATAAGACCATCAAGGCTCAGATCTGGGATACAGCCGGGCAAGAAAGGTACGCTGATTATTTTTCTATGTTCAGTAATATCTCAATAAATTGCATTCAAGTTTCCAACTTGAAACTCAATTTTGCAAGTAATTCCCAGCTGCAAACTAAGTGTTCATGTCCCTGAGCGGTCTTATTCATAATCCAACGTTCTCATGCTTCAATTTCATCTCCAATTTGATCATCTTTCAAAGTTGTTTTTGAAACTTCAGCTTTTCTAATACAGCTTAATAAGTAAATTAACTTTTTCCACAAGTGTAATTCAACACCAGATGCAAGTCCACTTTGGATAATCAGCATTGTGATAACGTTGCAGCACCTCTCTAGGATATGTAGTTGTTTGCTTCTGGGTATTGATAAATTTCGATACCCTCTTTGTTTGCTGTTTGGAGACCTTGCTTATCTCTTATAAAATGTTGAGCAGGTACAGAGCTGTAACAAGTGCATATTATAGAGGTGCCGTCGGTGCCATGGTGGTTTATGACATCACAAAGGAACAATCGTTTGATCATGTATTAAGGTGGCTTGAGGAACTGAGGGCACACGCAGACGCAAACATCGTGATTATGCTGATTGGTAACAAGTCCGATTTGAGCAACTTACGGCAAGTTGAAACGGATACGGCAAGAGAGTATGCAGAGAAGCAAGGGCTGTCTTTTCTCGAGACCTCGGCCATGGAGTCAACAAATGTGGAGACAGCGTTCTTCACCGTTTTGTCTGAAATCTACAAGACTGTCAGCAAGAAAGCTCTTATTGCTGATGAAAATCAAGGAGGCGCCCCACTTCTACCTGGCACGAAAATTACCCTCACAGATAAGGACGACGTGATTGGGACTAAGAAAGCAGGATGCTGCTCGAGTTGATAATTTTTTTGATTAGTCTTGATGCTTAGTGGAGGTTGTGTACAGTTCACAGAAGCATAAGGATCAAGTTCAGTACAAGTTCGAATCTCGATTTCATTATTGGTTAGCTATCACATAGCTGATTCATTGAGTTACTGATTAATGCCTAGCTTTTTGTGTAGTTGTATGAGTTGCAACTTGGTTTGAGAAAATCCTTGGAGTTGGAGGGGGGTCTCTTGATAGCCCGAGTGAGTAGGTGTACGGTTGTAGTCTGAATCCTATGTTACGGCTCTCTCATTCTGCTCCAAGTTAAATCAGAAGTAGATGCTGTTTTTTTTTTTGGATAGGTTGTAATCCAGCTAGCTGAAAGAAATTGATGTCATTTCAACAAATTCAAATTCAAATTCAAATCTCATTACTTCAATTGCAGTCGAATGTATTGCAGGCAATACATGACGAGCTCTGCACGGTTTACAAAAAACTTGCTCATCGTTTGCCAATATAGAAGGAGTTGACTAAAATCTTATGGATGCTTCACATCTAAGACATCGTAGCTACTTGATTGACCCAGATTGAGCTGCTGGAGGATTGTGAAAACTAGACGACTAAGCTTGAATCAGATTTAGTGTGATTTCGCTCTGTGAACAAGTGATTGAATCAATCTGGTAGTGCCCTTGCGGACTTCTTCGACGGCAGCAAAATTTTCAACAAGGAGTATCGCAACGTGCTTAGGTGAGTCGCTTGAACGCGCAGTCTATCTATGTAGCATGATGGAGGAGAGGGTTGGCAGATTAGCACCTAACAGGTTTACAGAGACCTTGAAGGATTCTTAGGTTTCAAGAGAACAATCGAAAACGGCGCGAGGTAACCTTGCCGCTTCTGCCGCTCCGAAGCAATAGTCGTCAAGGACCTTGCTTCTGCACCACCTGCAATAATCCACGCTTGTGCACAAGCCCTTCTTCGCAATAGAGCTGCACTCGTCGTCCTCGAGCAGCCGGCGCCTCTGGCGTTCGGTCGTGTCTAAGCAGGTATGTTTGCTGTCCTCCTGCATGTAAGCCACTGGGGAGCATAGCTGAGAAAGGTCGCACCACTCGCAAATGTCCCCTGATTCTGCGATGCAATCCGCGCGTGTATTGTACCTGCAAAGCTCCTTCCCTTGACGTTGCACAAGCTCACATGCAGCTTCACGTGTGTGCGACATACACATGGAAGCAAGAAAGATAGCCTTAGCCGCAACCTCTACAGCCATGAGAACGAACCAAACGCTAAACGAAACGTCACCAATAAACTTTAGTGTCACAAAGAACGATTGCTTCGACAAAAGCCTAATGAGTAAAGCAATAAAGAAATCAGTTGCAGGTGCGTGTTGCACCGTGAGTTCACGGAGAGAGAGGAATATAGCTTCCAGAAGAAGCCCACTGAAATAGACGGGTTCCCAGAATGCCAGGAGTACTGGCGGAGGCCGTGCGTTCAAACAGAATCACGCAATTACACGTGCGAAGTTTTGAGGTAATTTTTGCGACAATCTGGCCGCTCCTGAACGCGCCTCTCGAGGTTTCATGAATAAATGGAAGCTTGAAAGTTGAATACGTTGAGTATCTCGGAATCCGTAGGACATCCTTGAGAAAGAGACACGCAGCGATCATTCTTGTTTGCGGGGACAGGGATGAGCATCTCTGGACAGCGGCTAACTTTGATGATAACTTTGCCTTCGACCTCGGAACCTGGTCCTTCCTATATTATCCATGACTAAATTGTAGTGTGTCTTTTCTGTCTGTGCCAACGAAAGTATAACACAACTAACTGGCAAAAGATGCTTAGAGTCAGCGGGTGGTCACGACATGCTTTGAGGTGAATGTAGTGCCCATCTACGCAGTAGCGTTGATTGAATTTTCGCAGGTATCCTGCAGGTGTTTTTTGTCATTTTCTTTTTCTTTTTGCTGTTGATAGTTGTTATTGATTCTGATTTCGCTGCGAAGTGTGCAAACGTTGCAGAAATCTTGTGTTGTTTTCTGTGGCAGATTTTTCCGTATTTATTTTTGCGGCGTTACCCAATCCAGTTCACACCTACGTACTTACGAGCACGATGTTTACAATGCTCGGTGCATGAGCGAATTTTCTGAGTCGCTCTGTGAGTGCCGTTCTTTAAACAAATTCTCGTTCATCGACCACGTAGCAGCTTGATCGAGATCTTTGGGATGCCTCGGAAAGGTATCCTGGTTTGTTTTCGTGTGAACACTGAGCAGTATGACTGTGTGTAGGAAGCCCATTATATTAGCAAGTTGTCCTGGTAGGATCCAATATGGTTTCGTCCCAACTTTGCGAGGTTTACCTAGGAGCTTTGCGAATGCTCCATGCATCAGGTTAAATATTCACAAGGATTTTGTGAGCTGTAGAGTGGCAATAAGTCTGGTGAAATTTGGAAAACCGCTATCCAGAGAGCCTGGGTGGCAACTTAGGGCATTACAAAATGGTTTGGGAGAGCAGAGTCCAGACGCAGGCGCAAGCGGGAATTTGCAAAGTTTCTATGCAACATGCGAAAAGGGACTGGAGCAAATTCTTGCCGCAGAGCTTTCGTCGCCTCTTATCAACGCCTCGCAGGTAGAAACAGATTCTGGGGGCGTATTCTTCAGGGGCACTCAATCGACTGGCTACAACGCTAACCTTTGGCTCCGCACTGGAGATCGCGTGCTATGTGAGCTTGCTCGCTGTCTTCTTCCACAGGGTAAAAGTCGCTTCGACCTTTTGTACGAGTTTGTGCGAGAAGCTGCGGATTGGCCCTTGCTACTTGTTGACGATAGCGCGCCCCTAGCACGAACTTTGCAATCAGGTGAGGAACTCCACATCCTTAGGGTTCTGGTTTTCAAGTTCTTCTGTTTCGTTGACATTGTTATTATTCTCGTGTAGATTGTCATATTTCAAGTGAGATCGGCAGCTCGTTGGCGAAGGCTGCAAGCAATGAATAATCATTCGTATCCCTCTCAGAAACGGCTGAGCGTCTACCAAACCGCTACAAGTTCAAAAAATTCATTGTACAAATCAGGTTATCGAACTGGAAGAGCACCAAGGACCAAAACTACGTGTCCGCCAGCGTCAGCAACGCAATTTGGGATGCTCTTCGTGACAGTTGCGTCGGCCAGTGGCCTGCACCAGCAGAGAGAGAAGACTTGACTGCGGTTCCTCTCTTTCTTGATGTAAACGAAGACACAGCCTTTCTGTACAGAGATATGAGCGGTGTTAGTCTTCACAGGCGGGGTTACCGGGATGTTATCGACAAGACTAAGCCAAACGAAGGACTAGCGGCTGCTATTTTGACACTAGCAGGGTGGAATCACAATGTGCATGGTTTCGGTGCCGCTAATAAGAATGATTCAGGCAAAGACCGGGTTCTTCTAGATCCATTTTGTGGGACAGGGACCATTCTGATTGAAGCTGCTCTTATGGCTTATGAGATTGCACCTGGTTTGTTCAGGCCACACTGGCCTTTCCAGGTAAGTTTCTGGGAATTTCTAGGTTCTCAATCCTGCCCACGTTTGTGCATTTTGTGAGGCCTCTGGGTGACGTCTGATTTCTGTCTACTTTACTCAGTAGCAGTGTAGAAATGTACTGCTATGTTTAGGCTTTGAAGCTCCAGTATCGACTTTGCAACGTCCTGGTTTTGTATGTGACCTCTTTGTCGCATCAATCTAAATCCTGTGTTGTGGCTTCAATTCAGACATGGCACGATTATGACCCTAGAGCATGGACAGAGTGCAGAGACGCTGCAGCATCAGTGCAAGCTTTGCCTGTGTCAGGTGCACGATTGATTGGGAACGACATGAACGATGGGGCTATCACAAGATGCAAGAGGGCTGCAAGAGCTGCTGGTGTGCTCCATCTGCTGGAGCTTAGCTCTGAAACCTCACGACACTATAAGCCTCCAGTTATCCCCTCCCTTGTTGTCACCAACCCTTCATGCTCTGCACCATTGACATACTCGAGGTTTGTTGTTTTCATGTTCTTTATCCTTGTACTACAATTCTTGAGCTGCTACATTTTTCTACAAGTTTAGATTCCAGACCACACGTGGAGAAAACTTTCAATCTTCGAGATTTATTACTTTTCACGCCAGACTTAGACACACATAAAAGTGCACCATGCCCACGAATTGAATGCTGTTGAATTCTTTGCAGTTTGAGAGGAGAGGACGAACGGCTTCTCACATTATGGCTGGGCTTCGGCCAGCTTCTGAAATCCCAGTGCCGCGGTGCGGATGTTTATGTCCTCTCCGAGAACGATTGGCTTGCGCATGCCATGCACATGGTGCCGGACAGCAAGTGGGATCTGCAACCCAACAAGCAGTGGCGTGGAAACCACACCGGTCGCAAGACTGATAAGATCTTCGGCTCCCAGGAACGCAAGCTCCTCCACTTCCATGTCCAGTCTCGGTACGCTCGTGGAGACCCTTTGACCAAAATTCCTTTCTCATCACTCTCCCCCAAAACTCCCATGCTTTGAAACGTTAGGTGCTCAAAGTCACTTGCAGCAGCAGAACTCTCTGATATGTGTATGACGTATTTATTTATATGATAAATTTAGAAGAATCCTCAACAGTTTGAGGATGGCATGCTGGTCCTTAACATTTAAGGTTTATCCATCACTTGTTAAGGTTATAATGGGGGGTTTCAGGCAGGTCTGTTTTGCGTTTGCAAATATTTCTGTTGATCCTGTCTTTCTGTTCTTTTACTTGGAAGCAGTGCTAACATTCATAAAGTTCTTTATTTGTTTTTTTCTTTTATTTTATTATTATCAAGCTCAGCAAAGCTCCATGTAGAAAAGACGATTATATTATATGTGTTGTTCAAGTGGAGGACAAGAGGAGTGGTGAAGGATAACAATTTGAAAGAACCCAAGATTCAAATTTTTATCAAGTGAATCATGTCAATTATTGTGAAAATTGTGGGACGATGTTGTTAAGTGTATTAGGCAAAACACTCAAAAAATCAAAAGTAATGTCCACTTTGTCCAATTTGTCATGCTTTGTTTGCCAATACCATGGAATTTTTGTGCACCGTGTTGGTACATATACAGAGGGCCATGCAGTTTTATAATTTCCGGGTGCTCTGAGCGATATAAGAGCATGTGGGCGATGTAGAGTCACCTTTGACTTGCTGGAGATAGTATTCAACACACCTCCATACACGATTGAAAGTGTCTGTTTGCAACCCCATTACGAGAATCTTCAGAAAACTTCCCTACTCAACAAAACGTCTAAGAAAACGTAGTGTGCAGATGATCGTTGAGCAAATCTCAAGAGCTTACCAGGTCATGGTGGCAATAGGCATCAACAACATGCTGCTGGGCTATGATTCACTAGAGGTTAACAAATTAAATACAAATTCCTCGATAGTAAAAAAATAACCTTATCCCAAAATACAAATTCCTCGATAGTAAAAAAATAACCTTATCCCAAAAGGCTATTGCAAACTATGGGTTACATAGAACTACACTTTCTTCTAAGGCTTTGTTTATATCAATCTCATTGAGGATGGTTACATGGATTCAAACATTTAGTATAAATTTCAACTTAAGAATAAATGTATTATAAAAACATGAAATCAATTAAATTTATAGCAAAACAAATACTCAAAAAGTCAATCTGAAAGGTGAGGAGGCATTACAATAGTGGAATCCAGCAAAGAAATTACAAAATGGGAGATATGACAGAGCAATCTCAAATGGAGGCTCAAATATCACACCTCTTAGGCCAAATAGCTACTTTGCAAGGGCAAATAGAAACCTCGAGGATAAGGAAGTTGACATCTGTTAGATTGAAATTGAGTAAGCCTAATACATACTTTAGGACTTCAAGACATGAAGATGTATGTCAATGGCTCTTCAACATGCAACGATACCTCCAATTATCTGGGGCAAATACCATGGAGGAAATTATATATGGAACCAGTTATTAGAGAGATGCGGCAGCTATTTAGAGGCAACATTGAGTTCAAAGCTATGGACTCAAGGTAGATTTTGTAATTGAGAAGAGTTTGAGACCGAGTTTAGGAATCAATTTCGGCCCATCAATGTGGGGAAGATAATGCCCAATTAGTTGACAAATCTTACACAATTTAGGTTGGTGCAAGATTATGTCTCCTAATTTAAGTTCGTATGTTTCTAAATTAACAATATTTTGGAAGTAGAGATGATGGATCAATTCTTATGAAGTTTGAAACGTGGAGTCCATCAAGAGGTGGAGCTAAGAGATCCACAAATATTCAAAGAGGCAATTTGAATTGCAAAGAGGGTTGATGCTATAGATTTCAAAAATCATGAAGCACGACCTATAGTACGAAGTCTTATGTTGCTATCTAATACTATGGCACAATAATCAATACCAATGGAGATTGGTGCCCTACAAGGATCATTGATACTTCAAAGTCGACAAATATTGGTACAAAAGAGATTGTATTTCTATTGTCAATAGCCAAGCCATCAGATTGGAGGTTATCCAAAACGTCAAAATTCAAGCACCAGCAAGACAAAGTAGGTTCTCAATCTTGAAATTTGTCAAGTTCATAATGAGACAAAGTAGGAAAACGAGGCTCCCTAGTAAAGGTGCCAAGGGCTAGTACTAAAGATAGTGACTAACTCTGAGAGATAAATGGCATGGCCTTGGACAATTATAAAAAGAATCAACTTGTGTAACTAATGAGACTGCTAAAAGGACAACTAAGTTAAGTGCTTGTAGTTTGTGGCTCTACGAAAAATAACATGTCAATTGAAATTACGGACTAGCTTAGAATTAAAATTAAGGCAATCAAAGGAGGAAGTATATACCTTGTAAATAACCAAGAGAACGTATTGAGTGAGACATGTGAAGAAAAACCTTGAGGTTGATTGACATTTATGTCTTAAGAGAGAGGTTCAAGATAACAAAGCTAAGATATGATGTTATCCTTAGTATGCCATGGCATGAGATGGAAAATAAGCAAGTTGATTGGATAGCAAGGATAATCTCCTTCAAAAATGGTAGGTGCAGAGTGACTCTTAGTACCTCCGTATCAAGTGAAGAAGAAAGACAACCTGCAATCAAAGACTTACTCATAGGGACAACCTTCATGAAAAAGCAAATATAGCATAAGCAACCAGTATGTATGGTAGTTCCAAATCTTGCATTAATAGTCGGCAAGACAATTGAAGGAGCAAAACGGGCAGAGCAATTCATACAGAAATATTGGGATGTCTTCCCAAGTGACCTATCTAATGGAGTGCCTCCTGATTGAGGTGTCTTCTTTCAAATAGAACTATTACTTGGAGCCAAATTAGTAAGTTGACCAATTTATTGCCTAGTATCAAAAAAAATTAAAGAGCTACAAAAGAAATTAGACAAACTTTTAGAAAAAGGCCTCATTCAAGAAAGCACATCATTATAGAGAGCTCATGTACTCTTTGGATCTAAGAAGGATGGTGGACTTCACCTTTGCATCGACTATCAAGGCTTCAATAAGCAGACTATTAAAAATGCACATCCACTTTCACATGTGGATGATTTTCTTCACTAACTTTAAGGTGAGACCATTTTTAGTAAATGAGATCTTTGGAGTGGCTATTGGCAAATACCTATCGCAAGAGAGGATGTAGAAAAGATAGGATTTTGTATGCGCTAAGGACATTTCAAATGGCTGGTTTTATCTTTTGGACTCACGAATTTTTTAGCCTCTTTCATAAGTCACATAAATAGATTGTTTTGGGACCTTTTGGACAAGTATGTAGTTGTTTTCATTGATGATATCCTTATATATAGTAAAACCCTTGAAGAGTATGAACAGCACCTACAAGAAGTGTTGTCCCGGCTACAAGATAATTGCTTCTATTACAAGCAATCAAAATGTAAACTTTGGAAGTCAAAAGTCACCTTTTAACACGGGTCCATAGAACATCCCAATTCTGAGTGTTACTTTTAAAAGATGCAGTTTTATGTTTATTTTAAAGGTTTTGAGCCATGTACAAGTTTTCTGGGCAATTTAGATGAATAAGTACTTTATAAAGTAAAATTCTTCATGAAGAAAATGAAATAAAGATTTCGTGGAGAATACAAAAGAATTTTCTATGGTGTACAATATGTAAAAATTACAAAAAAAGGAAAGAAAGAAAAAGAAAAAGAAAAATATATTTTTTTAATGTATATTTTTTCTTGTTATTGATGCAAACATTATCAGAGGAGTTTTTTGTTATTAGAGATAAACTCTCAATTGATTATTGCTTTTTCTTCCTTTCACATTTTAAACATATATTTTTATGTATTTATTTATTTATTTATTTATTCTAATCAAGAATTAGTCAATATTGTGTCACAAGTACCTTGCTTGTATTCATCAATCTCTTGCTAAGTTTGCAAATTTAATGAGTAACTATTTTTACCTTATTCTTATATGGTATTATCTCCTCAAAAAAATATATAAGGCTTTTAGTATTACATTCAATTTTTTGGACTTTACCTACATATTACTGTTGAATTGATGAGCATATGTGTTACATTTTTTTTTTTTTTTTTTTTTTTTTTTTTGTTCTAAATTTGTTGGTCCTTCAATTGCTCTCTATCTAACTCCCTTTCAATCAATTACAACTTTGCTTGTCTAATCATACACCATACATTTGTTGATTAACATAGCCTTTGCAAAGATCAACCAAATTGGCAAGAATGTATAGATGCTTAGAAAGTAAATTATAAAAAATATAGCATCTACCCTTTGTCATAGCAAGGACAAATAGTAGGAGTTGTATATATTACTACATAAGAACTGGCCATCTAAAATAGAATAGCTTCACATCCAACTAAAATAACAACTACTACTTAGTTTTCAAAATCTAATTTTTATTTCACTATAAGTAAAAGAAGAAAAATAATAAAACAACTTTAAGTTGAATCCATAACTTCAATAAATATCCTTTGCAAATTATGGTCCATCTTCTTCCTATTCTACTACCAAATTACATTCTTTGATGATGTATGTATTGGCTATATACTATTGGCTTTTTATTTCTTTGGATTTTTTTTTCTAATGCATTTTTTTCCTATTGACATCTAATGATGTAAATATTGATGCTAAATGCAAGTATTGATACTATTAATTGCCATTACCTATCACTACCTACTACTATTTACTATGTGGTATAAAGAAAAACAAACATATAAAACTATATACATACATACACATGCAAAAAAAAAATTAAAATTAAAATTATTTGTTAAGATATGTAATTTTAAAGTATTTTAGTTTAATTATTAGTCAAAAAAATCCTTAGAATAAATGTTGGTTCAAAATTTAGATTTAATATTAATCATTCTTTCCTTGACATAATAAATTTATATTATGCATTGATAATTTACCTTAACATATTACTCCCAATGATAATGTGTGTGTATATATATATATATATATATATACAAGAAACATAAAGAGTAGGGGATATATTACAACCAGAGTAAACCTGTAAGAACCATCACCTCGGTTGTGGCTGATTGAAGCTCACTCTTGTGCGTTACCGACATCTCCCTCGAAACTTCGGCATCCTGGATCCGAGCCAAACGCGACCCATTGCACAATCCAACTGCTGGGTAATTGAGGATTCTTCGCTATTTGCGCGTTGATCTCCTCAAATCGGCAGCTTTCTTACGCACGTCGATGCTCTGGGAGTCCATTCGACGGTGGGCCATTCCTGGGGCTGGTTTCTTCTCGTCCCTGGGTCGCAATGTGTGCCTTGTCGATGATGTTTCAGAATCTCAGCTTGTGGGCTCGTGTGTCAGCGGCCTTAGTCTTTACTTGCGTGGGTTGTGCAAGGCTCACGGTTTAGGGTTTGAGTTCCATGATTTGAGGTTTATGTGATTTGGAGGTGTTTTTGTAGGATTTGAGACAAGGATGCAGCGCCCATCAGTGTATCGCACCAACCGATTTTTTTGTGATTTGTGTTTGTTACGTGAATCCAGACGAAATATTGGCGAGATCGTGGACCGTTTTTAAAGTTTAATCCCATTGCCTCGGATTAGCTGTGCGGGTTTCCTTCGAGCAATTCTAGATGCCACGGTCTGCCAAGAAGCTACCTGTTAGCTAAATTCTTCCCGCCTTGCAGCGCTTTGTCCAGGTTCCTCACATTTTTCCATAATTCTCATAAACCCTGAATCTTGAATGTTGGTTGTAATTTTCGGTGCTTGGAGCTTATCCCGCACTGCATTTCTTTTTGGTTAGTTCTCTTTTAGGTTACACGGACGGTGGTTTTAGAACAGGGATGACTTGTGACGATTCTTGTTAAACTAATATGTATCCATGAACCGACTCCAGCTTTTAAAAACGAGTATTAGGGATCCTCGCATTCTACTCCACCGTGTAGCAATTGAGAAGTTTTCGTCAAAGATCTTATTTCAACCTCAGTATCAATCAGAACAGTTGAGGTTTGCTTGGTATACATTCTTCGAGTGGACAGTAGTTGTGTGGAATTGGTCGGAGAAGTATTCGGTGAGTCTGGTAAAGGTCAGGGTTTAGATGAAAACCCTCTCTTCCCTTCACCCAAATTTTGGCTTTTCAAGGTAGGCATTGAGGCGGTGGATCTTGATTGGGGCAAGTACCTCGATCTCCTCATGATAGTTGGCATTTTTTTGCATTTTTGAGCCACTTGGAGTCCTTGCCAATGTCCTGATGCCCACGACGCTGTTGGGGCGTGCCGTGGGGTTTGCAAACGCTTTGTATTCGGAATCATAAAATGCTCAGTCTCACAAGTCTGCTAAATATTTCTCCTTACCGTAGAAGCCTGAAATTCAACTGCCAACTATCTTGCTCTTGCTCTAAACAGCAAGATGCAACGTGGACGCTCAACACAGTGCAGAGACCCACCCTCGTGAAGTGGCAAAAGAAAAGCTATCTTGTGTGACCTTGTCGTGTGAGAATTGAGCGTAGAATTTGCAAATTTTGTGTTGGCACAACTAATGCCGGGCAGTTGTTGAATTCATGGAACTGATAGCTGGTTTTTTTACATGTTCAGTGAAGGAAGCGCTCATCACTGATTTGTAACCAGAGGGAGGCGTAGATGCGGAGGGAGTGATGGAAGGCGTAAGGGAAGAGACAACGTGGGAATTTGCGCAGTTGGGATCGGAACCAAGTGTTACCAGGAGGCTAAGTGAAGTGAAGAGGAGCGTGGTAGGAGTGTAATTGATGATTATGATCAGCGAAACATGAAGTGAAGAGAGGAGGGAAGGATTAATGGCGTCACAATGGCTGCTTGCGGTTCTGATCAGCATGACGGGAGCGTTGCTGCTGTGGAATCAGGCTCTGCTGGAGCCCTCTTGCGCGCCCGATTCCACTGCTCCTTTTGCTCCTTCGTTCAAAGTGGTTGTTGTCGCCGATCTTCACTTGGCAGGGCCTCGTACAGCGTGGGTGGATCGTGTGCGCCGTGAGTCCTTTATGCGAACCGTCTTTCAGGTGTCTGCACCTTTTCATTAGGTTTTTTTTTTTTTTTTTTTTTTTTTTGTTTTAAAGCGTTGGAATCTTATATATAAATGGTTGCCATGTGCTCTACTCCACCATGGTAGCAGCAATTCAGTCTTCTTCACTCTCCCTTCACGTCTGTAGTCCAAAGCCTTTCTCAAGTCATTGGAGCGCTCCAGTTTTTTATTCTTTCCATAGGCATCCTTGTTGAGAACTGAGCCCAAAGTTCACTTGCAGAAAGCCTACCGGAGATTGAATCCCGATGCGCTGGTTGTGCTCGGAGACGTGAGCGATGCTGGTCGGAAGTCGAACGATGCCCAGTGGAACGCAGTGGTGGCTCGATTCTGGGATATGGTTCGCCCCTTCGCGGCCGTCCCCATCCAGATTGTGGTTGGAAATCACGACGTCGGTGACCATCACGATCCTGGTTTCTCCCGGCGCCTGCCTCGCTTCGCTGCCTCATTTCCTGGCTTGGACGACACATGTGGGAGCCACTTCACCTGGCATGGGGTGGATTTTGTGTCCTTAAATGCCATGGCACTGCATGGAGATGGCTGCTCGGTTTGCTCCAGGGTGAAGGAACATTTGGAATCCACAAGCTCTGCAGTTCAGAGACATCACAAGGTTGTCAGCTCCACCATCTTAAATGTCTTAGGGTAGTGACTTTCGTCCGAGGTTTTGTGGCGTCCAGGTTGTCGTTGTATTACATCTCTCTTCAATATTCTGCCATGTTTAGAGTGACATGCGTGAAGTCCTTTTTGCTTGTCTGTGTGTTAATTCATTCAGGGCATAGCTTCAAGGATTTGATCATCAAGCTTTCCTCGGCGTTTTCTTGATTAGTTGCGTTTACCCTGCCTTTTGTTTACTTGCTCTTGCAACGAGTTGATGAATTCTTCGCGTTCTCTTCACTTAATTTCTAGACTCACATGTGTACATTTGAGCTTATCTCAGAAGTCTTATCTTTCGCGGTCCTATGCCTGGAGCTTATGAACGTAATGAGAAAATAACTAGGGTTTAAGATTGGTTAACGTGGTTAGTCTATTTTCTGATTTGCGAACCATCTATCTACCAGGAAAGTGGCCAAGAGCAAGATATACGAAGTCATAATATTGAGGGAGGAGATGGCGATGGAGTCGTTAAGCCTGTTCTCCTTCTTCATTTACCATTGCATCGTGCAGATGAGAATGCTTGCACCGTTGTAGACCTTCCACGTTGCGCACCATGGCACGATTTGGAAGGGAATTGTTTGGAAGTGGGTTCATCACCTCCACTGTATGTCCTGCATCTCCTCCATCTAAAAGTTTCTGTTTAATCCAGCAAAACAAAAGACTCCTTGTATTCCTTGAATGAGAGCCAATATGTGAGGTAATGGAAGGGCTTTGGTGATGAGCTTCTCTGGGACTTTAATCGGTCTTTGTTGTTTTATGTGGAGATCGTTTAGCTCAATTGTGGCCGGGACTCTTTGCTTAAGAGACTCATCCGTCAACCATGCTGTTTTGAATAAAGATTGTGTTTCCAGTGTGTATTTCGGCACATAGGGTAGTGTAGGAAGAATTGCTTATCATCTGATATTTGGGAGCTTGATTTTGCTCTGCACGACGCTGGACCAGAGTACCGCCTCAAGAAGACCCTTACAGAGTGGGCCAGGACGTATTATCGCTCGAAGCATCGGCGCAAGTTCTCCAGTCATTTCGACCACGGTACGTTGGTTTCATAATAGTTATGATCTTCTTCCTTTTTGATAGTATTTGAAGCGCAATCTCTTGATTCATGAACTTCGTTTAGACACTACTCCGATCATGTCCGCTTGTTGTAAAAACGTAGAAATACCAAGGTAAATTGGGCTAATGAGAGAGTTGCTTGTGAAGCAGACTGGTGTTCAGTGGACACACGCACCGCTGGTGTGACCTAGTGCATGCGGATGGCACAAGGGAGGTGACTGTGCCGTCGTTAAGCTGGCGCAACCGCGATGATCCCAGCTTTGTGCTGGCCACTTTTCAGTCAAACTCTAGCGCCTTCAGTATCCAGCGCTGCATGCTAGCTCGTGAGTCCACTGTGATTCTGTTATATGTGTTGTGGGGGTTCACCATGGTGAGCTGGTTGCTGGTCGCAGCATTCGTTATGCTCAGGCGGCTGAGGTCCAAGTCTGTGAAGCCGGAGTGACGCGTGGGTGAGTTCTCATGATTATTACACAACTGTAACGACTGGGGAGGGGGAGGTATCTATAGCGTAGGTTGAGAAGCCATGCTATTAATGGTTCAGGAAGTGTTACGAAGTTTATCTTCGCATTGAAGTGTTAATCACACTGCATTCTGAATTTAGAGTTGCAGTTCTCCTGCCTTCGGCTGTTTTACTTCAATTAGTGCATTACTCAGCAATTTTAAAGCCTGCACTACGACTTTTGCAATTCAGAGATGAAGTCGGAGCAAATGGAGACAGGGAAGGTGAGGAATGGCAAGGTAGAGATTGTTCACTGTAGGCTTTGCAAGGATTCACACCGAAAAACTTGCCCCACAGATTCCAATCTCCCCCTCATTAATTTTACATTTCAACATGTACCAAATAAAAAAAATAAAATAAAGAAAAAACTTAGATCTTTTAACAATCTGTGTATCAGCATTCTTATGGTGTTACACATAGCAAGCTCTGAAAACACTTCCAACAAGGAACGCTGAAATATTTTGGTCGTCTCTTCAGATTCTAGAATTGCGAAGTCAAGCACGAGTATCCTATTCCATGGTAGGGAAACTTGTCAAGCGCCTGAGATCTAGTGGGTTAGCAAACGGAGGGCCTACAACGAGGGATCGCCGAATCACTGGAACTGGGGCGATTGGGGACCAACCCACCAAAGAAGAAAACGTCGATCGTACAATCTCCGCTAGCGCAGCTCCGATCATAAAAACTCAGCGTGGTGCGCAGAGTGTTGGCAAAGCAAACAGCAGACATCAATCCTTGGAAAGTGGAATTCATCCATGCTCTCGCCACAACTGACTCAAGCTACCATGACACCACCACCAGTCGAAAGAGCAACCACACACACACAAGCATGCATTCATTCTTCCATTCATTCATTCATTCACTCACTTCACTCCAGACATCGACTGCCAACCTCTCTCGCAATGGCTGTAGAAATTGCCAACTTTACTCCCTCCCCCCGTTCCCCCCTGCTGCTGCACATGACTGGATGTGTTTTTTTGTTGTTGTTCTATTCCACTGTCAGAGAGAGAGTGAGAGAATGAACACGTCAAGGTGGTGGTGGTGGTGGTGGTGATGGTTATGGAGAGATTGAATGTCCGTCCGGATCTCTGGATCCTGATTGTATGTGTGAGTGAGTGAGTCAGTGAATCTATCGGGGAAGGTGGTTTGGCTGCAATATGTGCAGGTCTTCCCTTCTCCTCCTGGTCAGCCCTTCCTTTCCTTATAACAAGAGCCCCCCCCCCCACCCCCCCCTGTTTAACTAAACCGCATCATGCGAATGTCCTGTCTGGATGGGTTGGTGCAAAGCTGCACTTATGGTGACAATTCCCTGGTTTTGATGACAGCCAGACACAGCCAGCCAGCCCGACAGACTCAGTAAATGAGTGAATGAGTGATTTATTGAAGGATGGAAGGATGGATAGATAGATAGATAGATTGATAGATTGATAAATAAATAAATAAATAAATAAATGGAGGGGATGTGTGTTTGTGTGTTTCTTCATGAATGAATGAGGGGTCTGAATTATGAACTGATTGGGTGAATGATGAATGGATGGATGAATAGGTGATGGATGAATGGGTGGATGGATGGATGGATGGATGGAGCTGAGTGGCTGGATGGTGGTGGTGAGGAGGGGGGGAATTGCAGAAGGGGGGGAGGAGTCCCCAAGGCAGGGGGGGAGTGTATTGATGACGTGGAGGAAGGGGTGGTGGGTGGGTGCATTGTCACACCTTATGCCCTGCCTGCATTTAAATAAAATTTAACAAGTAAAGTGAAAGGCTAGTTTTGTTTATTATGTTTTTATTTTAGAAATAAAGGATATTTACTCAATGTGATAGAGGGTTTGTACTCTAGTGTAAGAATCTGTTAGGTAGGATTGGAGTTTTCATAGTTGAGATTTGAGTTGTTAACGTTTTTAAGAGAAAGAGATGTGTTTTTGGTGGAAGTATGTAAATAAATTATTTGATGACCAAGGGACAAACAAACGTAAAGGAATAATGTAAAGTTATGGTAATTTTGAAACAAAATGTATACTCCTGTTGAGAACGAAAATAGCTCTTGTAAACTTTGGAGTTATTATTATTTTTTTTTTCGGAAATAATAATTTGAACTTCATGTTTATTTTGCTTTATACGAGTAAGAGTAACTTTTGTGATTAGATGCTAGTACTTGAATTTATAAAATTAAAATTAATATCTATAATAATAATGATTAATTAGGGGATTTTTTTGAGTATCTGATATTATTTCTTCATTTTTTGTCTTTTGTTCTTAGTTCATCTTATTTATATTAAATTTTTATAAATAAGCTTGAAAAATACATTGACCATGAGTTTTTGGTTAGGCTTCAGTATACAGCATGTACCATGTATGGCTCAAATTGTGAATATTGAGTATGTGTGTGCAATGTGTATGGTACAGTCTATATTTGTTGCAACATGTGACAAATGAAAATGGAAAGTGAGTTTGAAACTAATATTAATAGTGGATAATAAAAAATTAATTCATTTTATAGCTAGACAAGGTTATAATTTATCTATTTTTGAAAATAAAAACTATTCTCAGTATCATGATGGTCAGATTTCAAATTTCTTTTTGAATATTCCTTCCTCGTATTGTGATCATGTATGTTATTGAATGATTTTGAAGTATGTGCGAAGTGAAAGATTTTAGGAACAATGTCATGTTAAATTACAAAGTTTCTTTTGTTAATTTGTTTATTTATTTTCATATCTGTGCCTAATATAATAGCAAACAAGGGATATGAATTTTTCATTTTTTGTGATTTAACGTCTTTTGGTTCTGTTGATAAAAGAAATTTGCACCAACAATATTAACACTTTTACTACAATTACGAAATGAAACTTACAAATAAAATAAGAAACCACAAAAATAAACTATAAATCAAAATTGTCATTGCATATTCGTAGAGTGCAATTGGTAGAATAGAAAATTAAAGTAAACCAACCTTTTTCCAACCAACCGTTTATTAAATAAAGATACCCAAGAGGACTTATGCATTTGTCATTCATTGAAAATAAGTTTTGGGAATTCATTCACAAGCCGCAATAGTTTAAACTGTTCAACACACACAACTTGTTTTTGCTCTTACAAATCCAAAGACACATATATATATATATATATATATATATATATGCCTTAGAATTTTTTTGGTTGTGACATATATATATATATATATATATCGTAATTTACTTATTTGCTATAAATTTCAACTTAACTTGAATAATTAAAGTGAAACCCAAAAATATGATTTCATAAATATGATTTCATGAAATTTCTATTCCGCATTATCAACTAAATCAATACTTTTAGAAGAAAGAACCGCACAGTGTGAAAAAGACCCAAATATATATATATCGACCAATAGGAACACAGCGTCAACTCCAGAGCCTGAACAAAGGAGAACCACTCATGGGAACGAACCCACTCCATTGGGCACGCGCGCAGGCCGGGCCGGGCCCACCCTCGAAGGCCCTGGGAAACATCGGGTGACCCGCCCCCTTCCCCTGTGCCACTGACTGAACGGCAAAGCAACAGCGGCGAGGTCGTGTCGCGGAGTCTCTCTCTCTTCTTCCGTTGCTTCTTCTGGACTTGCGAGGATCCGCCAGGCGACCACCAAATCCCCGATCGTCGCTGGGGTGGTGAAATCCACGCCCCCCGTCTTCCCCCGTTTCTGCTCGGTAAAATTCCCCTTCTTCAGCTGTTGCTTTATTAACCCACACCTCGTGCTTGTTGGATACACAACTTTTTTTTGTAGCTGAGTGAGTTGTCCGCGGCAGTTGCGGTTTCGACGAGGTGAGGAGCCCCCGTTTTTTGGAGCAGTTGCATTGCCGTAGTCGTGACGGGATTATGGTGTTCCCTCGTGAGACGTTGGGGAGTTTTTTTTTTTTTTTTTTTTTTTTTCCAAGTTGCGAAGTTTGGGCTGTTGGATCCGATGGATCGCGTTTGTTTTGCAATTCTGGTGCAAATTGGTGCTTCGATCTTTTTGAGGTCGTCGCCATGGTGGTTGTTGTGGTGGAGGTGGGTATTTGGCTGAGGTGCTTTGTGGGCGCATTGCTCGCGGCTACATGTCTTGGCTTAGTTTGTGTAGCCTTTTTTTTTTTTTAATTTCGTTTTGTTGTTGCTGTTATAGTTGTTGCGAGTGGAGAGGGCTTGGAAACGGTTAGTGGCTGTGGGCAGGGCGTAAATGGTGTTGAGGACTAGTTTCCTGCGGGGGTGCCACGCTGTCATGTAGGCTTCGAACTTGAGCTAATTGAACGGTTTTGCATTGTCGTTACTGTCTATGTGTTCATCTGACCTTCTGGTTTGTGCTGTCGTTGTGGATAGAGGTTCATCTAATTGGTTTGAAATTGGATGAGCAATGGGTATGTGGACCCGCGCTCTGATCGTTACCCATGCCTTTGCTCCGCTTCGGGGCCTGTTTTTTATTCTCTTCTGGGTTTCCTTCTCACTTTAGAAAACCTTCAAAGGTAATGGTGCACAATGAGCCGATGACGGGTTCCGTATTAACTAGCGTCTCCGCTTTCGACAGTTTCGACAGGAGTTTTGGTAAAGATGGCGGGTCAAGGATTTTTCAAAGATATTCTCGACGGCGACGTCTTCAAGTACTATGCGGATGGAGAGTGGAAAGTGTCCTCGTCGGGGAGGTCTGTGGGCATTACCAATCCCTCCACGTTGAAAGTGCAATACAAAGTGCAAGGTCCGTAGCTGTTCTCTTCGTAATTTTTCAATACCCAGTATAACTTAAGTACAAGATGTGCAGTGTTCACCGACGGCTCAATGCGAGCATTCGTTGTTGACAATTTTGTTTCGAAGGTGAGGAAATCACGTGCATCGCGCAATTGTGGTGCTGTGAAAATGGCTCCTAACCATTCATTACGTTTACAAAATCGTCCTAATCCTCCGTACGACATCGGTTTGACCGCCGAGGGCTTGACGCAATTTGATCCTGTCGTTGAACCGTTGCTACTGTGGTTTAATCCACCACAATTCGAGCTTGCTCTCGTGGGAAAAAAATTCCTTAATTTTTTATGCTCTCAAGGAGCGTGGAGAATCTTGCAGAGTTGATTAAATTAGTGCAGCATAAGAAGAACGCGTTAACACCGTTTATGACCCTGTCAATAAACTCCTCTCCCTTTTGAATCATGCTTTCGAATCACTTTGATTAGAAAAATTGTAAAATCTCATTCAATCTTGAACGTGTGCATTCTACAGTACATGTAAGTTCTAAAGTATGATGATTTTGTCCGGCTGTTCCAGCCTGCACTCAAGAAGAGGTGAACAAAAGCGTGGAGAGTGCCCATGCTGCGCAAAAAATATGGGCCAAGACACCGTTGTGGAAGAGAGCTGAAGCGCTGCACAGGTTCGCTGGGATCCTTAAAGACCAGAAGAACCCCATTGCGGAGGCTCTTGTGAAGGAAATTGCCAAACCCCAAAAAGATGCCGTTACTGAGGTGAAAATTATCCCTCAACTATCGCCTGCTGTCTCCTGGAAGCTAAATTATATCCTGTATAGACTAAGCAAAATGTCTCCCTCTGTTGGTGCATCTACTTTTTCCTCTCTGATTTGGAAATTGAATAACAGTGGGCTTTTGCATCCAGGTCGTTAGATCTGGTGATCTTATTTCATATTCAGCAGAGGAGGGCATTCGAATCTTGGCCGAGGGCAAGTTCTTGGTGTCTGACAGCTTCCCAGGAAACGGCAGAAATAAATACTGCCTTGCTTCGAAGGTAACGAAGCTTTTTTCACACTCGGATTGTGTGGAGTAAGTTGTCTTCGATAGAAATCCAATTGCAACTTGTGGATTCTATTATTGATTTCATTAATATTTTTCAATACTCCCTGCAGATTCCTCTTGGCGTGGTCCTTGCCATTCCCCCATTTAACTACCCTGTCAACCTGGCCGTGTCCAAGATCGCCCCAGCTTTAATTGCAGGAAACGCAGTCATCTTGAAGCCTCCTACGCAGGGTGCAGTGTCTGCTTTGCACATGGTGCACTGCCTTCATATGGCGGGATTCCCGAAGGGGTTAGTTTCTGCAATCACAGGGAAGGGATCTGAGATCGGAGACCTGATGACTATGCATCCGGGCATCAATTGCATCAGGTAAAGTCTTACGAATATCCCACTTCCACAAATTTCATAATGAATATTTACTGCCTACTGCAACTGATCTTAACATTCCCAGTTCTTAAGGACTTGCCTTGGTGCGATTCTGGAACAGTTTCACTGGAGGTGACACTGGTATTGCAATTTCGAGAAAAGCTGGCATGGTTCCACTTCAGATGGAGCTCGGAGGCAAGGATTGCTGCCTTGTTCTCGAGGATGCTGATCTTGAACTCGCTGCGAACAATGTCATTAAGGGTGGATACTCTTACAGGTTTGCGACTTCATTCCTCTGACGCTAAAAACTATTTTCATAGTGCAGTAAATATTAAGAAGAAAATCACTGGCATGTAATTTTTCACGCTTGAGACTAATACCTTCATATGCCCTGGAGGTTTGCAGTGGACAACGCTGCACAGCTGTGAAGGTAATCTGTGTAATGGAATCAGTCGCGGAAGAACTAGTGACCAAGATCGTAGAGAAGATGACGAAGCTCAAAGTTGGTATGCCTGAAGATAACTGTGACATCACTCCAGTTGTCAGCCAGTCCTCAGCGAACTTCATCCAGGGACTCGTGGAGGATGCCAAGGCCAAGAAAGCCAAGTTCCACCAGGTACGCCCCAGATTCGATTAGTTTTCCGCTGCATCGGTTGAAATTTCTAAATTTGTATCTTTTTGGACAGAATTGAGCAGCAGATCACAATGACAATTTTTTATATTCTATTTTATGTTATTTTTCTTGATCCGCATGAAAACATCCGTTGGTGCTCTGCAGGAATGGAAGAGAGAAGGGAACTTGATCTGGCCACTTCTTATTGACAATGTCACAGCTGACATGAGAATCGCGTGGGAGGAGCCCTTCGGACCAGTGATCCCTGTCATACGGATCAAGACAGTGGAGGAGGGCATTCATCACTGCAACGCAAACAATTTTGGTCTTCAGGTGCCACCTTTCAACCCATGAAACAATTACACTGATTTTGAACTGCTTCGCACTCTTCGACAACTTAATTCTTAAATGACAGTGATGCTGAACGGTCCAGCAGTGAAGTGATCCGACGCATTTGATGTGAATTGCAGGGCTGCGTCTTCACCAAGGATATCAACAAAGCAATATTGATCAGTGATGCTATGGAATCTGGAACTATTCAAATCAATGCAGCGCCTGCGAGAGGGCCTGATCACTTTCCTTTCCAGGGCCTACGAGACAGTGGTATCGGGTCGCAAGGAATCACCAACAGCATCCAAATGATGACCAAAACCAAGAGCACGGTGATCAACTTGCCCACTGAGTCGTACACGATGGGCTAGATCACTTCGACCCTCACTGGTGGACGACGTAGCTGATCCTAGTTCCTGCAAGACGTATATCATCGTCGTAGTTTTCCAAGAAGAATTATTATCACTTCACACCTGCTCCAGACAATTCCACATACTGAAGAGCATGATTGCTGTCTGAAGTGTAGGACAGCTGTTTGGGAGGATTGGCATGGATTGCGAGAGTGATTTATAGAGCTCATCACTGACAGCATCTGTGGGTGTTTGTACATTCGCATACCTAGCCAGCCTCATGAATCGGACAGAACATAGGCCGTGGAAGTAGAATTTTGTTCAACATTTGCACATGGAGCAGCAGAGGAATGGCCAGAAATTGATGAAAAAAGCAACTTGGCTGCCGAAATCTCTGATTGATGAACTTGCACACATCGACTATGTACATACACTTTGGTTACAGGGTCCGTCTTGCATGGACAGCAATAACTTTGCAAATCCATCCGTTCCGCTCATCTTCACAAAGTTCTGGACAGTGTCTGCCAATCACCAGGCGAATACCAGTGGACTCGATTTCTTAACCGACATCGATACATCGTTCCTCTAAGGCATATCTCAATTCCTGCAAAAAAATAAAAAAATAAAAAGGCAAAAAAGACAAAAAAATCCGATGTATCAGCAAACCATCTTCACACACAGCGTTTTCTAACGCTGTTATGTTACTCGATCAGCAACTGTGACTAGGTCTCGTCCAAAGAGAACAACTAACCTTCCTCCGAGATCCTTGCACCGCACAACTGTCAACGAAGCCTCGTTGGGCGTGTGAGAACGCAGCCGCTAGAGTCAACGCGGAATCGAGCCAGGAACTTCGAAATGGCAAGATGCTTAACGGGTACTGCAAAAGTTGTTGTACCTGCAAAAAGTCGGAATCAATTCCAGGATCGAACTGTGCGCCAGCTAGACAGACAAGCGGTCAAAGGGCCTTGGCTCCAGTCTCGACTCACGTTTCCATTGCATCAACTAAGTTATCTGGGTGATGCGGAGGGAGCTGGGCTGGGCTTGTGCGCAACAAGGGGATTTGTCCAAGCTGGAGATTACATGCCCATTCCCATTCCTACTGACATCGCCACAGCCATCGCCCTTTCTTTCTTCCACTGCGTTCCTCCCCCGACCCCCACTCGAGGAGGCGGCGGCGGCGGCGGCTCCGAGCGCTGAGGTGGCGCGTGATCGTCGACGATCGTCATGAAACGGTCATCTATCGTCATCGTTGATGAACGTTCACGTTCGTCAAAGGAGGTCGTCGTCCACCATGATCGTCCACGATCTTCAACGGAGGGATGAGTAAAGGTGCGAGAATATACATAGATATACACACGAGTGTGTGTTTGTGTATTTACAAGCACTACATTGTGAGAAATATTTTCATTTAGAAAAGAAATAAATATATTAAATTGACATAAAATAAAATAAAAAAAATATGATTTTTGATTTGTTTGGCTTGGTTAATTTTTTATTGGATTATCTGAAAAAAATGTGTGTATATATATATATATATATATACAGAGAGAGAGAGAGAGAGAGAGAGAGAGAATTGAATCTTAGATATCTTTTACAACTCAAACTTCCACCAAAATCATCCCCAAGCCATATTTCGAAATTCCAAACAATATATAAATATATATATTTTTTACTACTAAAATTTAAAAATATATATTTATAGATCAACCATCACCAATCGAGACAACTAACGGACCTTCTTCTTGCTGATCCAGAGGATTCCGTGACTCTGTATGATCTGGGCAAGTGCTAAGACTACATAGGGCAGACAGGTAGTAAACGAATCATTACATTCTTGAAGAGATACCCAGGTGTGTTCGCCTTCCACAAGAATGTAGAGCCCGGGGAACTCCCTTGGTTTCAGTTTACGGCTAAGGCAAACCCAATCTGCGATGAAGAGCTAGAAATTCGCAATAATATGAAGGTGGAAGTCGTCACCAATTGAGGCAACAATGGCGGCAGGATGCCTTCGAAGGAATTCATAATCTAAACTAATCGCATGAGGTTTATCAGCCCAGTGAGTTACTGCGGGATCACCCCTTTGACTACTGCAAGTGATTCCTACCCACGAACATGCAGAGGACGCCGAGGTTCCAGTCGGGGAGCATCTCCTTTCCCATTCCGACTGGGCTGCCCCGCAAGAGGCCCGTGGACGGGAGATGGGTGCCGGGAATTGGGACGGGCAGGTCGGGGCAGGGGACTGGGGGCTGGGAACGGGGACGGAGGCGTAAAAGTTTGGGTCGATTTCACATTTCCCTATATATATAATAATTTTTTTGGGTAGGATTATATACAAAGTAGTACATACATGTATAAGATTGGACCCAATATCAATATTTGTTGTATTTGTTTAAGAGTCATGCGATTCTTACAAATTTTGAGATTTCTCAAAATTCATACAGTCAAATTATTGCTTTATTACAAAAAAGAACATTGAATTTTTCTATATTTATTTAATTCAGATTAGTAATGTAATTAGAAAAAAAAATCGTGTAAACATCTTTCATTAAGCACTACCAGGTGGATCAAAGGGATTTTCAAAGTATACTACATTGCTATTATTTGTTTATAAGATGATCAAAGATTTGTTCATGATATGAGATGATATACATCTATTCACAATAATTTTTCAAAAAATGATCAAATCAGATGAATTGGTTTTTTATTAATAGATTCACATATCATATAGTAATAAAAAACTGTGTTATATTTATACGAAGTTCATGTCAAAAAATTAAAATCAATTAATTATTTATTTATTCTTCCTCAATGAGTTACAACATATAGGAATGCAAATAGACTTCAGCAACGAATTTTGATATTTTTTTCTACGTTCAAACATTATTATACTGTTTTATGCTTAATCTCAAATTTAGGTATTTATCTATGATAAGAAAAAAATATGTAAAAAACAACTTTATTTATTAAACCAAAAATCAACTATGCTACTGTCATTTCAAAACCTTGATACCAATGCAACAGACCTGAAAACTATTTAGCAATAAGGTTTGTCAGATGCACTCTCTAGACGATCTTACCTCACACCAAAAAAAAGAGATGTTGCTTTCGATCAACAACAGACAATTCTCTTGAAGCCAAAGCATCTTCATCTTTGAGCAAAGAAATCAATACTAACTATTGATTCAACTTTCATTAAACAAGTTCAGTCAAGTATGTCTTCTGATCCTCTTATTTGTAATAATAAGGGAAATCCTTCAAAGTCTCATGATACTTCCAAGTTTGAATTCAAGAAGAATCTACTATATTTTGAGGGACGCCTATATGTTCTAGAAGGTAAAACTCGATTACGTGTTCTTCAAGTTCGTCATGACTTTCTAGTAGCAAGACATTTTGGGTACAATAAAACTTTGGAATTAATATCCAAGGACTTTTGGTGGCCTCAAATGTGGAAAGTAGTCAAAGATTTTGTACAATCTTGTGATGTTTGCTCGAGATCAAAAACTCCTCGTCATCAACCTTACGGATTTTTTCAGCCATTACCTATTTCAGAACAACCATGGTCTTCTGTTTCTATAGATTTCATCTTGAATCTTCCAATCTCAGATTCTTATGACTCTATATTCGTGATAGTAGATCGTTTTACTAAGATGGCACATTTTGTACCATGTACAAAATCTCTCATAGGTGAAGAAACAGCTAAGCTCTTTCTTGACAATATCTATCGCTATCATGGATTACCCAAGGATATTATATCAGATAGGGGAACTCAATTTGTATCAAGATTTTGGCGGACTCTTTTCAAGATTCTTAAAGTGGATATAAAACTATCTTCGACATTCCATCCTCAAACTGATGGACAAACGGAGCGTGTTAATCAAGTTTTGGAGCAATATTTAAGATGTACCATTAATTACCAACAAGATGATTGGACAACTCTTTTGTCATTGGCAGAGTTTGCTTACAATAACACGGTACACTCTTCTACAAAACAAACACCTTTCTTTGCTAATTATGGTTATCATCCATGACTTGATACTTTTGACTTTTCAAAAGTTGATAATCGTGCTAGGAAAGATTTAGCAATTCATTTGTCAGAGCTACATGCAATGATGAAGGTGCAGTTAAAAGTAGCTTAAGAACAACAAAAGATCAATGCGGATGTCTATCGAAAGGAACAACCATCATTCGTCTTGGGTGATAAGGTATAGGTACTTTGTCGCAATATCAAGACCTTTCGTCCTTGTGACAAGTTGGACTATCAAAGGCTTGGACCATTTTCTATTTGTACACAAATCAATCCAGTTGCATATCATTTACACCTATTGGAGTGAATGAAAATCCATCTAGTATTCTATGTATCTCTTCTTGAATCGTACAAGATAGTGGACATACCAAGAAGAAGACAAGCTCCACCTCCCCTTACGGAAGTGGATAATAATGAAGAGTTTGAAGTGGAAGAAGTCTTAGATTCAAGGCGACGTTGATATAAATTGGAATATCTTGTCCATTGGCGAGGATATGATATTAGTGAATATACATGAGAGCCAATAAAGAATCTTACAAATGCAGTAAAGGTGGTGGAGGCTTTTTATTGACGACATCCATCAAAATCAAGATGAAAACCTTCCTTATAAAAGAAACAAGATCTAAGCAAGATAACATACTACTTTCAATTCTTATTTGTAGCTTCTTTTTAATTGTGACGCTGAGGGGATAGAGAATCAACAACCAGTAGATTCGACTCAAGAGCCTTTGTCTATTGACCTGCCGGATGAGACATTATGATTGTCACAACCTTCAAGACGACGCAATCGACATGAAGATCTTCTAGAACAACATATTGTTCTTCGAATAGATGGTGAGATACAACATGTTTGGTATCATGACCTTGGAAGGGACTCTCAATATTTGGTGATTTCACTAGAGGTAGGAACAACTCTTGATGGAGTTCCAAATGTTTAATTTGAAGGAAGTTATGAAGGCCTCAACAATGATCAAATAACTGGGTGGTCTTCCCGCCCTGGTATGGGATACTATCGATGGTTGAGAGGCCCTATCAATCATCTTCGAAGAGAACAAAGATCAAGGTATGTGACGAATACAATTCGTGGCATCTTAGATTTTCTCAATATATGATGACCACTCCTTGTAGAACTCGTCTCTAGAAGGGGGGGTAATGTCAAGGACATACGCATGTAAGCCAATAATTACATGTATAAATAGGTAGAAGTAAGTAAAAGTAGATAAAAATAAGATAATTCTACAATATTTGTTATGAAAGCTTTCTAGAAGCTTAATAGACGCTACTTTGACTTTATAGATGTCTTTAATTGATTTTTTGGATAAGAAACGTCGTCAACAAGTTAGCCATGTGCCACACATGTTGTTAGCTTGAAGACCAAGCTAACTATGTGGCCTATACGTAAAAAACTTGCCTTGTAAGTCAAGGCATGTGTCCTACAAAGTCAACACATATTGGAGGTC